AGATAAATCTGACTCTATAAAAAATAAAAATATATAAATTTTTTTTTACTTTGAAGAACTGATAAGGTATAAAGTACTAAAAACTATTATTTTCTTGTGAAGCAAGTAAAGAAAATAAAAAGATATTCAGATTAAGTCTCGTTTTAATTTTGACAAGCTTTACCATTTGTCTCATGTTTTACACCATAAAGGAAACAATCAACGAGGGTTAAAATACCAAATTAAGTGCTCAGACCTTTTGCTTAGAAATTAAAGAGGGAAAAGGCAAACATAGAAAAATATTTTAGTTACTTTTATAACACAGAACACATTTCTCCAGCTTACCCGTTACATGTTTTTCTCAATTTCATTTAAAGTTAAACCTTTAGGTGTCATTTTCTTGGTCAGTAGTATATTAAAATCACTGGCAGTATGTCTAAATATATTCAATATGACTAACTAGGTTATCAGAGATATTTAAAATAGCACATAGAAAACATACGTAAGTTTATATCTAATTTAAATTCTAAATGAAGTATGGAAATACATTCTTAAATTTTTTTTAAAATGTTTAAAGTTTGATCAATTACCTTGATACTCTGTGAAGGTGGTAACTGATGGTCAGAATCAGTTTTGCAACTGACATTTCCCACTTTGAATCATGTCTTGTTACACATGGAAGCTTGTAACCATTTGAGTTATTTTCAGGGATTTCTTTTAGAGGCAGAGAATATGGGCACTTTCATCAGTCCTTTCCTTTCTCCATATCTGCCATTGTGAAAATGGTTTTCCCTCCCCACATGTTACCCAAGTTGGCCCTGAAATGTTTATTTTTCCCTCTTGTTTTTGAGAATTTTGGACCTCTGTAGAAATGTGCATGCTAGTTAACCAGTTTTCAAAGCAGGACTCATTTTGCATGTCACAATCAAATGTATATGGCAATCTAAAACGTATTGATTGATTATAGGAGACAATTACTATAGAATCATTTTTAATTATAGTAACATATCTTAGACTGGTTTGAAATTTTTTTCCCTTTGTTTTGTAACATGGTTAAGGTTGTAAGAGTGTATATGATAACTTTTAAATGGATTGTAAGATTGCCTTAGATACTTGTTCCAAAGGCTAGCAGGTGAGATCCTGAAGATGATCATATATTAATAAATGACTACAAAAATGAAATTGTTGTCCTTGTATAGGTCAGTGATGTATTTTAATTGCTTAGTGATTAATTTTTAAAATGAGTAATTAAAATAATCTTTTTCTAGTATTTTAAAGTGGTGTGGTTCTGGGCTTATGTATGACACTGCAGTATTAGAACATGAAAATTAAAAAGGATAGTGTTAAGTCCTTTGAATGTAAAAAAGTAAAGAAAACTTAAAATGTGAAAAATTGTCCTTTTAAAATAATTTACAGTACTTTAAGCAGTAGCTTACATACTGAAGTAGTTTGACTCACACATCCTCTTATTAGAATAAGTTCTAAGGAAAACTAGTCTGGATTTCTTAATATGTTTTATTTCAGTGTTTTTCTATTAAATATTTTTATTAAAAAAGTAAAAACTAAAATATTAGTAAATACATATGAAATTAATATTTTAAAATTTAGAGGACCTGGTTTGATATTAATGCCTTTTTACTTAATAGCCTTGATGTGTATGACTTTGGGCCTTTCTGGTGGCTGCATTGTGGAAAGACTTTAGGCAGTGAATTGTTGACTTGAGTGCTGAATCTTGTAATGAATATATGGCTATATTTTATGTGTATTTTAAAGGATATAAGTACTAATGACAAAGGCTTATATAATAATCTTTGGGAAATACTTAAGAAATGAACACTTCCTCCCAAGATTTCCTTTTACTGTTGATTATACTTTTCAGGCATATGTTAAGTATAAAATTATGGTATCATTGGTTGCTAGAAAAGATTTTGGTTGTTCGAAAAGGTTTATGTAGAAGATATTATAGTACTGATTTTAATTTTCTGATGAATACCAATAGACTGTTTTAGGGCTACTGTTTGAATTTTGGTTATTTTCACAATAAGATTCCAATTCTGAAGGGTTTTGGACAAGGGTATTTATTTTTTATGTAAAACAAATTTCATAAAAAGGAAAAGATGCAGTATGATGAAGAACTGATTGGAACGTTAGAGTTCATTTCCTACTCATGTTTGTGTTTATTAAAAAAAGGAGAAAACACTTAAAAAAATTAATTAATTTTTTTAAAAAAAGAATTGCCAGGATAGAAAAATTTCATGAAACAACATATGAGCAAGAGCCTGTGGTGATGAAGAAGTTCAAGCTGCTCTGAAAGAATTGGCAAAAAACAAGGCCCCAGCAATTAACAACGTACCAATTGACATATTTCAAAAGACAGATACTTCCCTGGACATGCTCACCAGATTGTGTCAAAAGTCTGAAGGGCAATTACCTGGCCAACTGATTGAAAGAGATCCATAGTTATTCCTATCAAAAAAAAGGTGATCCAACAGAGTGTGGAAATTATGAAATAACATCACTAATGTCACACACAGCAAAATTCTGCTAAAGATTATCCAAAGACAACTGGAACAGTATATTAACAGAGAACTACGAGAAATACAAGCTGGGTTTAGAAGAGGTTGTGGCACTAGGGACATCATCACTAATGTCAATTTGGATCTTGGCTGAAAGTAAAAAATACCACTGTGATGTCAATGTGTGTTTCATTGTCTGTCAAAGACATTTGACTGTGGACATTGTGTAGATCACAACAATTTGTGGCTAACCTTGAAAGAATGGGAATCCAGAAGACTTGATTGTGCTCTTGCAGAATCTGTACTCAGACCTAGAGGCAGTCATCAGAACAGAGCATGGAAACACTGCATATTTCAAAATTAGGAACGGAGTGCGTCAAGCATGCATCCTGTCTCCACACCTTTTTCAATCTGCATGTGGAATAGATCATTCAGAAGGCTGGTCTTTATGAGGAGGAGTGTGACACCTGGATTGGAGGAAGACTCATCAACAACCTGCATAATGCAGATGATACAATCTCTCTTACTAAAACTGAGGAGGAAACTGAAGCATTTGCTTCAGAAGGTCAAAGACTACAGTCTTCAATATGGATTGAAGATGAATACCAAGAAGACAAAGATTCTCACCACTGGACCAGTTAGAAGCACCATGATAGATGGAGAAAAGATTGAGGTTGCTAACAATTTCCACTTCCTTCATTCCACAATTAGCACTCTAGGTACCAGCAGACAGGAAATCAAAAGATGAGTTGCATTGGGGAAGTCTGCTGTCAGGGACCACTCCAAACTGCTTTAAGAGCAATTATGTCAACTTAGATACTATGGTGTGCCTGATTCAGGCACCATCACTTGCTATGCATCAGAGTGCAAGACAATGACTAAGGATGACCAAAAAAGAATTAAGACCTTTGAGTTATGGTGCTGGAGAAGAGTATTGAGCACACCTTGCAATACCAGGAGAACTTGAAGAAGGTAAAACGAAGTTTCTCCTTGGAGGCAAGGATTTTGAAGATCCTGGAAAGACCAGTCCTTGGAGAAGGACATGATGTTTGGAAGGATAGAGGGACAGTGCACGAGAGTAAGACCCTAGATGAGATAGACTGACAAAGTAACTAGGGCAATTGGAGTAGGTATGTCGGGGTCAGTGAAACTGACTAAGGATAGGGCCGTGTTCAGAGCTATTGTACACAGGGTCACTATGAGTCACAAGCAACTTGATGTCAAATATAAACAACAATAGTAAATGAATAGGAATTTGAGTGGTTTTTCTCTAGAAATGCAAAAGGAAAGTGTTTAGAGAGTACTTGCAATTCGAGAAAGGAAAAAAAAATGGAATGTAGAAGAGAGAATAAGCCCAGCACATGGCAATTGGCAGAGGTCCTTAGAGAAAGACACCTTTTTAACCTGGGCTTACATATTGCGTGTAGATCCACTGCTTCCCTTGAGCCTCTAATGAAGGTCTACGGCACACAACAATTCTCTTTAGAGTCCTTGGAAACAAACAAAAAAACAGGAAGAGGGTTCAGTTCTTGGAGAAAACAAGAGGAGCGGGGCCCATCATCCTTCTTGATATGTATATTGAGTCACTGGGATTGAATACTAAATATGTAGAACTTGACAGCATTTGAGTTTCACATATAAAAGACAAAATAATAAATGTTAAAATGGCAGTGAAATCCAAAGGACACAAATGGCTTCTACATCTTATAACACAAAGTTATTCAGATAACCCAGTATTCCTACTGTCTAACTTTTAGCACTAGTTCATTCTGTGCCTTCTGACTAAAGCATATTCCTAAAATTTAATCCCAAATATTAA